AAAAAAAAAAAAAAAAAAAAATACATGATCTTTCGGAGAATCGTAACAAATTATTTTTTAATAAATAACAAAAGATGTAAAAACCAATTTTATTACCAGCGACAGCATACTTTTCAGCACACTTTACATTACTTAATTTCAATATCCCAACGTATAAATCCAGCAACAATAAAGAGTGCGAAATTTCACGGCTCGTAACAACTCGTCAAGTAAAATTACTCGATCTCAATATGTCGAGATAAAAATAATACCCGTTTCCCTCATCGTCAACTCGACGCACCATCTCTTTAACCTTGAATCATTGTACTCGTACGAAGCACCATATGCAACCTCGAAATTTCCAAACAATCGATCTATACGTACCTTTGTCTCCTTGCTCCATTCTCGCGCTAACCCACATATTCCTCCCATTATGCTGTCAAAAGAAAAAAAGAAAAAAAAAAAGAAAGAAAGGAAGGAGGAAAGAAAAGAGAAAAGAAAAAGAAGGACGAGAGAAGATACAGATGAAGTACGCGTGTCATCGGCAACCAAAAGAAGCGGCAACCTACGCGACTACCCCTCTCGAGCGACTCACCCTGCTCTGCTTAGTGAGGTTGGCGCCCATCAGCCGGCGATTCTTCGTGGCGTCGAGGACGTTCCGACGGGGGGTGCCCTCTCCGCCGGGACATTCCCGTTCTGAGGGTGCAGAGGGATTGACCCCTCCTGTCGTTCCCCAACGGTGCACTCGTGCGGCCACCCTGCCTATCGGGCCCTCCACCAGTCCCCTTAGAAGTCGTAACGTGCCACCCCTGCACGACAATCCACCACCACTACCACCACCTCCACTAACACCATTGACACTAACGCCGCTGTTGGCACTGTTATTATTTTTCTGACCACTACTACAGTCGCCGTGTTCGTTGATAGTTCCACTGTCGTCGCTGATAACACCACCACCACCACCACTACCACCACTACTCTCGTCGCCGACACTTTCACCCTCCACCTCCTTCGTTTCCAGCCTCGTCGTTTCTTCCTTCGTCTGCTCCGTCGCCGCAACCGTTCGCCCGTCTTCTGTCACCTTCGCGGACGATCGGCGCCCTCGTGATTGCCCACGGTCTCCGCCACCCTCCGCGGAAGCGCGTCGCAGCTGTCTCGAAATCGTTGCAGCTGCAGCGCAACCGCTCGATCGACGAGCCTCGTGTCGCTCGCCGAGTCTCGTGGCTCGCGACCGCTTACGTCCGCTGGTTCGCGTTTATTCAGACTACTCGTCGAAAGTGAATTTCGTCTTCCCACGAACCAGAGGTCGGACCTGCTCTCTTCAGGATTTCGCTTTACTCTGGCTTCGCTTCGAGATTCTTCGAACACGTTAGCCTGTGCTGGTGTGCGCGATTTACGAGCGAGTCTCGTCGATCGAGTGGATGATGCTTTCAGCAGACGGTGGTGGAAGGACGACTTCCTGGAAGACTCTCGCCCGCTACGGTGTTCCAGTTGGCCGACGTACGATCTCGTGGGTTCGCTTGCTCGTAAAAAATACATACAAAAGATATATCACTCTGGATCTGGAGGTAGAGGATTCCGCGCTTGAGAGGAACGAGCTACGACTAAGGCAGCGACGATCTTTCCCCCAGGATCGGTGTGAAACGTACCATCAGCTGGACGCGTTCTCGCTCATCTCTGTGCAGGCTCGCGTCGCTCGAACGTGCCGGCTGTCTGCCTGTCAACTCCCATTACACAGTCCGTTCACTGTCATGTCCCGGTGGACGATGCTCGTCACACGAACTCGCGCTCACTGGACATCGATACTCCCGACGAAACGTTGCTGCGACCGATAGCCAGAGACAACCAGCCGCCCCGTTCTTTCCCTCGACACTTTGATCGATCCTCTTCTTCGATTAACCACCCCGCCGACTGGTTACTTAAAACCCTCGCTGCCAGTCCAAACTTTGATATTTCAAACGAACGTCGAGCGTAACGTACGATTCATTATACACAGAGTATTGCGCACGAGTCTTCTACAGTTCGAGGATTTCATCCCTCAGTGAGTGAAAAATTGCAAAAATTCTAAAGATAGAACGTTAAGAAGGTTGTTAAAAAACAATCGTTTTTTTTTTTTTTGTGTGGAGAATATCTTTCTTTCTTTCATGAAGAAGACACGAGGCACGCGCGACGACGAGGATCGGCGTGGAAACGGGGCGAAAACACGAGCTGACGTCCGTGTGGCGCGCTGGTTGCCGACCGACTGACTGCCTATCGCCGATTAACCGCCTCCCTTCGCCGTGTGTCTGACTCACTCCAACCCTCGGGGAGGATTTCCAGCGGCGCGCTTGCGTGGCGCGCGCGTGAAACACCGTTGCCGATTGTCCGCGTTTACTTACGTACATACGCGTGTAACGCAAAAGAAATTTCGTTAGGTACGACTCTTTGCGCTGTTTCCCTCTGCTTCCCTCTTTCTTCTCGTCTTTCACTTTCGACTCGACTCGACTCGATTTTGTGCTAGAAGGATTTTTAAGAAGATGAATTTCTTCCTGGTCTTTGGCGATTGAAAAAGTTCGCCAAAGCTTTGGGGAATTCAGCTTCGTTTCTGGATTATTTTTTCAAGCCAAGTTGTAGAAGTGTATCTCTGATGGATTTTCTTTTCGATAAGACTAGATTGGAAGAATCCTGCTTGAATTTTTTTCGAACGATTCTGTCGACTGCAGAGCCATCTTCGTCAATTTCAAAGTCACTTTGTTCCTGAAGCTACTTTGTAGATGCGTATTTCTAATAACGTAAGAAACTTAATATGAGAGACCCCGTATCCCTGGGCAGCATCGTTAGCCCCATAAAATAATTGCGAAAATCAATTTATGAGACTGACCGTGCAGTTTTGCCGGAAAAGACCTAACTTCTCCATCACGTGATTGGAAAGAACACAAAAAAAATTAGCCTTGTATAAAGGCCTCGATCCTTTAACCTTGATCTTGCTAGGTCCAACAAACGTTATAAATATAATATGAGGGACGGTCCTGGGCAGTAATTGTGAAAATTACTTTATGGGGCTGATCTTTGCCCAACGGCACATCTTAGCCGAAAATGACCTACCTTTTCTATTATCTGATTGAGAAGGGCACAAAGAGAGTCTCACTGCATAGAATTTTGCTTCATACAAAAGCTCAACTAATCACCCTCATCGCGTATTTCCAAATACCTCATGAAAAGTATCTTCAGACTGAGATGAACCAGCTACTAATTTAACAACGTTCATTCTATTGGATCGAGAAAGATTTAGCTCAAGACAATCTTTAATTGATGACAAATGATCAGGTCTGTTCTTAAACTTTATTCATTACCAAAATTGAAATAACTGAATAAGAATTTTATTATTAGAACAATTCTGACCATGAACATTCATGATGTCACTTTCGTGGAGTATTTGTATTTGTGAACAGACTTTTTCCCATACGAAAAATAAAATTTTAGACTTGAGCATCCTGAAAATACTCTTCGTATTGCAACTACCTGCATCAAACCAGACATCGATGAAAAAAGCTCAATGTTCTCATTAAAAATGTCCATGTTTCTTTCATTAATATAAATATATTTTTCTAATCGATGTATTGCTTCGCTACAAAAGTTCTCATCAATAATATAAGTTACTGATAAAAAAAAATATGTAAACTATGTGCGATTCTCGACAAACTTCTGTTGGGCCACGGAATGAAGCCTTAACAAAGATCTAAAACCCATGCTCGACGACGAACAAGAAGATTCGCATGAACTGGGGTGAGCGAAAGCAACCCGGTTAACCGGTGATCTATACAACGTTCAAGGTCACCGGAATCCAGCCCCTCGCGAGACTCCAGTAATTACGTAAACGGGGTGCGAAGACGATCGCCTAGATTAAGGCCTGGTAATCTCGTTTCCTACCCGCCTAATAAATTCATAACGTCGATTGACCCTCGATATCCACCCGCGATTAATCGGCTTTATGACATTTTAAAACTGATTAGGGGCTCCGTTTCCGTCCTCCGTGCGTTAGAAACCACCGTTACTTGGAAACACTCATCGACGAACAATACGCTCGCACGCTGATCGATCACGACTGCGAGATGATCGACGCGCCGATGATTTATTGTCGGTCCCGT